GGCAGGGGGAGCGAGTGTACATGTGTGAGTGTGCCCGTGTGTATATGTGTGTGTGTGATGGGGCAGGGGGAGCGTGTGTGAGTGTGCCCGTGTGTGTATATGTGCATGTGTGATGGGGCAGGAGGAGAGGCCTTCCTGGGTGCAGGGAGCTGCTTGGGGCTCTGTCTCCTCTGTGTTGCTGGTTCACCCTCTACTGTTCAAAAATCAGGCTGAAAAACAGGATGTTTATTATGATCCAGTTTTATTAAAAAGCACACACATACATGAGTATTTTTGAGAGGAGAAGAAAATGCCTCTGAATGTTCATTTTGGGATTCCTGAGAATTTGGATTTTATTCTTTTGCTTTTCTGCATTTTCCAAATTTTCTACAACGGACATGGATTACTGGGGAAAAGACGTTTTACATTACAAGTTACACAGGATCGTAGACAGTTTGGGAAATAATCATTCTAGATTCCCCCTCTTAACTGTACCCTGACACACAGATACAAGCGTGTTCCCGGCACATGCACACACGTGCGTGCGGACCGCTGGGTTGCCGCCTGCCCTGCCGTTGTCCACCCTGGCTCTAGCCCCGGCCCCCTCCTCAAGGACAGTGCTGAGGGCTTGCTGTGGCTCTCCACGTCCTCCACGGATGGCAGCTAGGTCTGGAAGCTACCCGGGGCAGGGCCTGGGCACCTGGGCTTCCCCAGCTAGACAGGTCCCTCCTGGCTGGACCAGGGCTCTGGAAAACAGTTGGCCACACAGCCGGAGCCCTGCCTTCCCTGGCAAGTGCTTGGCTCCTGTGCCTCAGCCTGGCTTCCAGGGCCAGCTGGCCGGGACTGGGGAACAGGAGGGTCACGGTGCTGTGCTTCTATCCCTGGGGACCCTAGGGATTGGAGAGAGGGGTGTGGGCGACAGCCTAGGAGGTGAGGGGGCTTGCAGTCTAGTGGCCCAGACAGCCCGCTCACCCCATGCAGCGGGAGGGAGGGGGTGGAGACTTCGTGAAGAAAAGAAACAGGGTTGATGGTTTTGGCCAAGCCGTCCCTTCTCTTCCAGCTCCTTGCCTGCCCTGTGGAGCCAGAGACTGGAAAAGCTTGTCTCTGGCCAGAGCTTTGGGGGCTGGCGGGAGTCCGGTGTTAACCCCCTGTGTGCTGGGGCAGAGATGGCCCATCAGATGTGGGGAGGGGTGGGCAGGGAGAGGGGGAGCTTTTTATCACAGGAGGGTGAGGGGAAAGGAGAGACTTCCAGGGACAGTGAACATTGGTTCGTCCACTCATTCACTCATCACTCATTCACCAAGTGGGTATTGACACGTCTGTGTATGCAGACCCTGGTTGTGGATGCCAGGCAGACACTCGCCAGCAGGAGAGCCGTGGTTTCTGCACTGGGGGCTCTGTTCTGGGGGGTGGTGGGCTCCAGTCAAGTACTATTCAAATGGATGATAAAAAGGCAGCTGTGCAGGGTGCTGGGCGTGAAGGTTACAGTCCCCAGGAGAGCAGATAATAAGGCAGCTGACCTTGTGGGGATGGTCAGCAGAAGCTCCCTGGAGTTAGATGAGGTGGGTGGGGAGAGGAGTTCTGGGAGAAGCAGCAAAGTCCAGTGTGGGGAGTGGGGCAGAGTGTGGGGCTCTGGGGTGCCGGCCGTCCAGGGAGGATCCTGCTCTCTGTTTTATGCGCATCGGGATGCGGTTATACGATCAGACTTGTGGTTTGGAAAGTTCGCTCTGGCAGCGTGTGTGCTCGCATATGCACACACGTACACATGTACATCCTTGCCTGCACCCCCTCCTGGCCCCAAGCTCCCCAGAAAATTGCCTCGTCAGCTTTTCTGAGGTTCACAGAAACCCAGGAGCTGCTGATGCTGTGCTGTTCCGGGGGCAGGACGCTGGTGTGAGGGTCCCGGCTCCTGGCTGAGCCTTGTCGGGAGATTCTAGTGGAGCTGGGGGGGTGGTTCGTGGTGGTGGTGGTGGGGGGTGCCCCATGGTTCCAGTCTTGGTTCACCAAGAAAGAGGAGGCCACAGTGCCTCCCCCGTTCTGGCTGGCCGCCTGGCTGGGCCTCTTCCTGGCTGGCGCACAGCCTCGGGGCTGGTCCAGCCACTCCAGATGGCAGTCTTTGGACATGAGACCCGCAGAGGCACTCCTGGGCTGGTGCCGGGGACTTCCTTCGTGGGTGCTTAGAGGCGAGCTGAGGAGGTTAGCTGGGCGGTCCTGGATTTCAATTTCCTTGGGGTTGTGTTTGCCCAGAAGGAATTTTCTGCCCTGCCCTATGAGGGCAGGAGGTGAGCAGGTCAGGGGCTCCGTCGCACGGCTCTAAGGTGCGCAGGAGCAGACCATGGGCCCAATGCCTGGCCGTTGGCCAGCTGTGCCGTGAGCTACGGGCTCGGGTGGGCAGGGCCTCAGGAATCTTTGGGAACCAAACTCCCAGGTTCTATAAAGTCCCCCTTCCTTCCGGCAAGCTGTGTCGTTCTGAGTCACCCCTACCGAAGGGTGGACCCTTCCCCTCAACAGAGCCTCAGTAGCCTCCCTGTCCCAAGAAACTGGCTTTCCAGGTGAAGACCCAGGATGGGTCCCAAGTATTCTGCAGCTAGTGTGAGCCACCATCTGGCCCGGAGTAATAGTCAGATCTGGCTTCGAGCCCCTGAAGGATGGAATGGGTGACCTTCGGCGAGGTCGGGGCCTCTGTGTCCCCATCTGTAACATGAGGACAATAACAGGGCCCACTGGCAAGGAGGGAGGAGGGGACAGGTGGCCTGCTGGGAGACACTGGGGAAGAATGTAGGGTCATCAGCAGCTGCTGTTGTCTTTAAGGGGGCCCAGACTAGGGTAGGGTGAGTGAGGTCCTCGCTTGGGAATGAGAAACAGCATTGCAATGTGCCCTATCAGGGCTCTGCTCCTTTTTATTTATTTATTTTTTTTAAATGTTTGAAAATACTTTTTTTTTTTTTAAAGATTTTATTTATTTATTTGAGAGAGAGAGAGAGCATGAGAGGGGAAGGGTCAGAGGGAGAAGCAGACTCCCTGCCAAGCAGAGAGTCCGACGCGGGACTCGATCCCGGGACTCCAGGATCATGACCTGAGCCGAAGGCAGTCGCTTAACCAACTGAGCCACCCAGGCGCCCGGCTCTGCTCCTTTTTAAAAGGAAAAAATCACAATACTGATCCCGCCTTTATTTAAAAGTTTGATATTTTGCTCATCATGGATTTTTAAAATTAATTTTGGTTTTTAAAAAATCGTTGCTGTAAATTCTTATTTATCTTGGTTACTGAGTTTTTTCATGTCCCCTTAATTTTTATGCCCAAGGCAAGTGCCCCGTTCGCCTTACTCTGGGCCCAGTAGAGCAAGGTAGATTGAGCCCCTTGGGTGGGGTGCTCACCCACGCTGAAGGCTTTATCAGCAGCTGCTTGCCTTGCAGAGTAGGGGATGATGGCTGAGGTGGGAACCCAGGGCCCATGATAGAGGTGGGTGGTGACATGCTAGGACTCTTGAGGTGGCTTATTCCTCAGGTGGGCTCAGGCCAGGCCCCAGGTGAGGGCCAGTGTTGTGGGATGTGGATCTTGGCTGGGTTCCAGTTGGGGAGATGGGCTCAGGCTAGGGGCCTTGCAGATGATGGGAGGGGGAAAGAAGCAGGGAATCCCTGGGCCTACCCCAGCCACTTGCCCCACATCTGCCTTTCTGTTCCTGCCTTTCCAGTGGGTTCCTGAGCTCATTCATTTCCTGAGCACTCAACCCTTGTGCTATAGGCCCCCCAGGCATATGGAGCTTCGTGCAACCCAGCCCTTGCCCTCACAGGGAGCTCGCGGTCCAGCCAGAGACACACAGCACATTAAAGCCCGTGGGAATGGCTATTAAGGAGGGTCCAAGGGTGGTTGCCACCTTAGTCTGCCTGGGGGAGTCAGGAGGGCTCCCGTGGAAGGTGGCCTCTGAGCCGAGCTCTGAAGGGCAAGTGGGCTTTGATGTTCACGTCCATGCAGGATTTTCCCCAGCACTTGTTTGGGATGTCCCCAGCCACTGAGCTGGGCTAGAGTGGAGGCGATGAGCATGGGAGAGGGCTAGGAGGTAAAGTCGGAGGGTACCCCTGGAAGGAGGCTGCACCCCTCAAAGCTAATAGGCTTGGTTTGACCACATGTGGGCATGGGGTAGGGGAGGTGGGAGGCAGAAAGGACTCCCCACACATGGCCCTGATGTCAGGACTTGGGGTGTGGGGCCTGAGGATGGAGGTTGTGCACGCCCCCCCCCAGGTCCTCCTGGCCTGGCTGCAGGGGCAGCTGGGCAGGGCCCCCTCAGGCCCCCATTGACTGTGCCTTCTCTTTCCAGATCCTAGGCGCGGTGATCCTGGGTTTCGGGGTGTGGATCCTGGCCGACAAGAGCAGTTTCATCTCTGTGCTACGTAAGGGTCCCTCCAATCTCCCTGCCCGACTGGCTCTGGAGCGGTGGGGCCAGGGCAACGGACAGGGCTGCTCCACAAGAACTTGAACCTCACAGCGGGTCACTTTTCAGCTGCCCTCAGGGCCTCACCCGGGTCCTGCGCTGACCGCTCTGCCCCGGGCCCCCTCTGCAGGGGTTTTCGGGAGGAATTTTCTCTCCCTCCCCACACAAAGCTGCTGTTGTCTGGAGAACACTGGGGGTTGAGGGAGGCTTGCTCTCCCAGCCCGGCCCCTTTCCCTCAGCCCTGACCTCGAGAAAGCCTCTTACGGTCTCTGTCCCTCCATTTGCGAGGTCAGCAAGATGTGGGCCCCAGTCCGGCCCCGGTCAGTTCAGAGAAACGTTGGAAAGGGTGGGAAAGAGGTCGTCAGGAGCCGATGACGTGCCTACCATGTGCCCAGTGCCGGCTAGATTCGTCGGGTCTCTGGACTGCAGAGGAAGACACCGGGCACAGCGTCCGTGGTCTGTGCTCGTTCTGAGGCAGGCACAGGGCCGAGCATTTTGCACATGAAAATTGCCTTAATCCCTCGATAGCCCTGTGAGGTAGGAACTGTTCTAGTCCTGCCTTACAGGTGAGGAAATGAGGCTCAGAGAAGTGATGTCCCTGGCTCACGTTCACAGAGCTTCCAGTGATAGGTGGGAGACTTGAACCCCCAGAGCTTTGGTCCTAAATGCTGCCTGTGGTAGGGTGAACCACAGCATGCAAGCCCCTTCTCTCACCCTTGAAGCAGGAGGAAAGAAGCCCAAGGCACTCCTGCACAGATGATAAGAGCCTTTCCAGGCTACGCCCGGCCTCCTCCAGGAAGCCTGCCAGGCTTGCTGCACTGATCTCATGGATGCCCTGAGGTGGAAGGGAGGCACAGCTGAGGGCCCCAAGTAGCACAGTGATGCCACTCCCCTCAGTGAGTGCATCCTTGGCTCATTTCCCTCCCAGCTGCTGCTGAAGCAGCAGGTTTGGACTCAGGCCCATGGCAGCTGCTTGATTTGAATAAAGCGGAACCAGGCTAGGATGGGTGATGGAGAGGCCACACCTGTCACTGTGGCCCCAGGGGGCTAGGCCTCCCCTCAGACCTGAAAGGAAGCAAGGATGATCCACCCTGCAGCCACATCCGATGCAGCCTGGAGCTGTTAGCTCTGCCTCCTGCTGGGGTGGAGGGCTGCAGAATGTTCTCCCATTCTGGGGCTAGGGTCTGCATTTCCCACCCCAGCGGGATGCCCATGCTCCCCAGGCCTTTCCAACATGGGACACATCCGCCTCTGCCCTGATTAGGCCCAGGCTCCCTGCTTCCTGGCCGTGGGCCACACCCAGCAGGTACTGCGCCAGGGGGCAAAGTCTCAAGGCCCAGCTCACCCACTGTATCTCTATCCTCTGCACCTTGCCCCAGGCCCCAGGAACCTCCTACTGCTCCTCCTGCCTCCTCCCTGTTCAGTTCGCAGACTCTCCCGGAGCCGCCAGAATGCAGAGGTCCCCTAGATGCACCCAGAATGTTTTCACAAATACAAGGGCCCCAGGCCCACCCCAAGGGGATCTGACTCCATCGGTGTGTGGGCAGGGGCCTGGAGCATTGTGGTTTTTAAAAAGCTCCCCAGGTGATTCCCAGGCAGCCAGGGTTCAGAAGCACTGATCTAGCAGAGGAAAAAGACTTGCTAAGAATCACACAGCAAGTGAGGGTCAGGGCTGGGACCCAGGGCTCCTGACCTACTACGTACGTTCCAGGCCGGTGTGACACAGCTCTCCCCTCACCTAACTGAGTCCACACTGTGAGTCCACGGGGCGAGGTGTTGCTGTGCGCATTTCACAGTGGAGGAAACCAAAGCACAGGAAGGGAAGTTAACTTGTCCCAGGAAACACAGCCAGGAGGGGGAGCTGGGATATGAACAGAGGGCATGGCTCCTGAGCCCCCATACCCTGAGCCCCTGTACTGCGGGATTTCACACTCACCATGCAGTCCTGCCTTAACCAGAGCAAGCAAGTGCCGTGGTCAGGAGCACAGACTCTGGAGCCGGGCTGCCATGGTTCGAATCCTGGCTCTGCTGCCTCCTAGCTGGGTGATCATGGGCAAGTTACTTCACTTCTCTGTGCCTCTTCATCTAGAAAATGGGGATAATAATAGAATATATCTCATGAGGTTGTTGTGAGAAATGAAATGAGTTAATATAGGAAAAGAGTTTAGAACAGCTCCTAGTAACTAGTCAACCCTACAGAAGTGATGAAGTTGGTAATAACACCTTGAAGTAGGATTTAGTTCCATTTCACAGAGAAGGAAATAGAGGCCAGAGGATGGCTTGCCCAGGCTCAGAGCTCGTTCGCAGCAGAGCTGGGATGAGAACCCCTTTCTTGTTGCCTTTGGTCCCTTTCATTTGGGGCCACTTCTACCTCGCTGGTACCTGCCAGGCCCGGCAGGACCCAGATGTTTCTGCTGTGCACAGTGGAGGGCCAGCCCAGAATGTCCACTTGTCCCCTTCCTAAGTCAGGTTGCTCAGATTGGGGCCAGCCTGAGACCCTGGGTGCGGTCAGGGACTGGTGTCCACTAGACGTTCTGAGAAGCTGAGACCTCGCAGCCGGGCTGGCCTCCTGGGGGAGAAGCTGAGTTGGGGGATCTTAGCCCTGGGTCTTGCCTGCTGGGCCCCCAGGTGGCCTCTTAGCCTGCCTGGGCTTCAGGGCTCTTAGGGACAAATCAGGATGTAAATCCACCCTCATGGGCCTGTTGTGGAAATGAAGCAGATGATTCGGATAAAGGGCCTTGTTCTGGCTGGCACACAGTGGATTCCAGACTGTGCCAAATTTCTTTTCTCTGGGAGTCATCCCTGGCCTCAAACCGAGGAAGCTTCAAAAGAGTGGCATTGGATGGCTTCTTCCTGACTATGCTGATTGCTGAGAGCAGGGTGCTGAGGGCCTAGAATGAAAATGGGGGCTCAGTGCCAGGAGCCCCCCCACTCACCCCAGCAGGTCCCCACCATGCCCGCCCAGCCTGCCTGGGGGCTCCTATGAGGAGCTGGGTGGAGGCAGCCCTGCCCTGGCACCCTGAGAGCAGGGTGGGCTGGCCAGGGCTCTTCCTGAGTTCAGAACATTCTGTCTGTGACCAGGAAGTGGAGCTGAATCAGGCCCTCCTATCCACCCACACTTCAGCTTTGTAGTTACTGCTTAAGGGCACTAAGGCGCCCTGGGTGGCTGGGGGTGGGGGTGGATCTCAGCTTCTCCCAAGCCCCCCAGGGAGCCGGCCAGCGTCCTCCCTGCTGACGGCCACTTGGGCCAGCCCTGGCCATGCCCTCCTTAGGAGAGCACATTAAAATGGCAAATTCCAGGTGGTCTCCCAGGAAAGTCTGTCCAGTTGTGACGCACCCAGGAATCTATATCCCTAAGAGGTTCCCCGGATCCGCTAATGCACTCCAGGCTGCTCTCCAGCTTTCTGGAAACATCCTGTCCCGGCTGCCTCCCAGAGACTGCAGGGGCTGTTGTGGGAGGAGTCTGCCTCCCCCTGCCAGGGGGAGGCACATCTCCCCTGGCCCTTCTGGCATATGACAGCCTCTGGGTAGAGGGCATCTGGAGGTGGGTGTGAGCTGTGCTCTGTTCTGGCAGGTGATGTGCTGGGCTTTTAGGGAAATGGTGGTCAAGTGCTCTGATGGAACCCCGACCTCCACCCACGAGGGTGGGCTCTGTCCGCCCTCGGCCCTGAAGAGGGTTTCTTGCCATCAGGAGCCTCTCTCTACGCCTCAAGCATATCACCTGTCGGACTCACACTGGCCTGATCTGTCTCACCTTCAAATACATCAGGCTCGCTCCTTCCTCCTTGCTGTTCCCCCCTGCCTGGAATGCCTTCCCCTCACAGATCTTCACTAGGCTGCTTCTCCATTCTCCTCTCAGTGTCAGGCTCAGGCTCAGGCTCAAATGTCACCTGCTCATACCAGGCTTCCCCAACCCCCCAACCCACTCACCACCCCATGGTCATCTACTGGAGCCGGCCTCAGTGTCCCTGTGGCTCTCTCCACAACCAGGGGATCTGGTCATTGTGTGCTGTGTGTTATTGTCCCCACGCCCCTCCCCACTGAATGGCAGCTCCTTGTCGTGGGGACCTCAGCAGTCTGACTCCTGTCTCCCCAGCAGCCAGCACAACATCTGGTAGGGGCTGACCCCAGTGCTCTGACTCCAGGGGGAGCAGTGCTAGACCTCTGGGCCTTACCCCTGATGGTGTGCTTAACAAGGGTGAGATAGCTGGGCCGAACTGAACGCCGTTCTTTCCATCCCCAGAGACCTCCTCCAGCTCGCTCAAGGTGGGGGCCTGCATCTTCATCGGCGTGGGCGCTGTCACCATGTTCATGGGCTTCCTGGGCTGCATCGGTGCCATCAAGGAGGTCCGCTGCCTTCTGGGGCTGGTGAGTGCCGCTGTCCAGCTGGGTGGGGCCTGCGTGCCCCCCTGGTCCCGACTGTGGGAGCTCGTGCAGAGGTGAGCGGGGTGGGGTCACCAAGGGCGGGGGGTGCTTGCGGCTGACTCCGTGCTGCTCTGTGTCCCCAGTACTTTGCCTTCCTCCTCCTGATCCTCATCGTCCAGGTGGCCGCGGGAACCTTCTTCTATTTCAACATGGGCAAGGTAAGCACCCTCCTTGCCCCTGGCTGGGCTGGGCTGGGCTGGCCCTTCAGGGGGATTGGCCCTGGGGGTACGGGAGAGACCAGGGGCCTCTCAGCTGTCACAGACAAACCCAGGAGGTGCCTGGCAGCCTCCTGGGCCTCTGGTCCCTGTGATCTCCTAGCGAGATGTGAGGGGGGCAGCGTCTTGGGCAGAGTCGCCGTGGGCCTGAACGCAGCTCTACCCCAGCACCTTGTAGCTGTGGGGCTGTGGGCAAGCCGCTTGCCTGTCTGGGCCTGTCTCACCTTCTGCAAATGGAGGACAATAATAAATTTAACTTGCAAGGTTCTGGCGAGGATTCAGTGAGATTATCTTAGTAAAACACAGCACAGTGCTTGGCATGGTAAGCGCCCAATAAATGTTGTTGTTCTTGTTTTTATTCAAGCACCTCAGCAAGTAATAAATCCATGCCACTCATCCGCAGATGAGACTCAGGGAGGAGACTGTCAATAAAAAAATTAGTTTTGCATCACAGAGAAGGCGCTCAGCTTTAAGGAATAGAAAAATCAGGCTGACTGTGGCTTAAATTCTAAAGATATTTGCTGTTGATTAACCAGAAGTCGGGCTGGAATCAGAGACCATGCTTCTGGCTGTGTGTTCAGCATCCTCATCATGCCACTCGCTATATCACATCACTCACCTCATGGTCACAAGGTGGCTGCCACAGCACCATCCGTGCTGCTGTAGCCAGAAGAAAGGGAAACAGGCAGTGCCAGCCCCGGCCATCCCTTTGATCAGAAAAGCAAGTCTTCCAACAGTCTTCCCCAGACTGGGTCACAAAGACACCCCTGGCTTCAAGGGGACTCTAGAAGACACAGGCACAAGGGAGAAGGGAAGCCAGGAATAGCTGTTGGGTGAGCCAGTCGACTGTGACTGTCAAAGTTAGCACTTATGGAGCACCTACTATGTGCACATGGTATCTTCTAGAAGCTTTACACACATCGTCTCATCCTTACGGCAGTGCCCACGGCATCCCTGTGGTTGGGTCAGCACACACCATGTACTACAGGGTACAGTGCTGGCCACTTTACTTTCATTCTTTCACTGATGCTCCCCATGCCTTCCCTCTCAGGGTAGTGTGAGAATCCCCATCGACAGGTGAGGGGCGAGGGCACCAAGCCAGCCAGTGGCCGGGCCAGGCGAGGGCCCAGAGCTCAGCCCAGACCCACTGCACATGGCCCTTGACCCGGATGCCCCCAGGACCCCCCACCCTCCTCCAGTGCTACAGTTCTTATCCAACTGGGGAGACAGCTGGTGGCTAGTGGGCTCCTGCATTTCACCACTCGAAGGTCCAGTTGCCTCATATCACTCTGAAAAGGAAGGTGAGAAAACATTACACCAACATCAACAACTAACACTTTGTGGAGTGGAGCCTAGAACAAGCCACCCCCCCACCCCCCCACTGTGGCATACAGATTGTGCTCACTTAGTTTTTCCTCACTGTGGTCCTTCGAGGTCATGGGTGTGATACCCTCATTTTCAGATGTGGAAGCCGACGCACAGAAATGAGGCACCTTGACCAAAGGTCACACAGCTAGTAAGCGGCAGAGCGAGGATTTGAACCCGGGCAGCCCCAGGTTCATATTGGTGCAATTTCCATTGCAGTGGTTCCTACCCGAGTCTGCTTTACTTCTTCATAATCCACACCCAGCCTGTTCCCCAGGAGAAGTGGAGTTGAGTTCCAACACAGGCACAGGGTAACTAAAATCAAAACGAGAGAGATTAGAACACACACTGGAAGAGGAAAAGCCCCTGAAGCCAGGGCACTAGATAACAGTAGCTGAGGGCTAACTTGAATACTGAGCTTCCTGGTGGCCAAGGCAAAAGGGGAAAGAGTGGTTTCAGTAGATGAAAGGAAGCTCGCTTGGCCAACAGACAGGAAGGCAGTGTTTAAAGGAGGGAAACTCTTTTCCCAGTGAAAGGGTTGTGAGATCTGCTCTTTATTTCTGCCCTGTGGCACCTGGGGCTTCTCTGGGACCCAGTCAGTGGTACATTATGATCAGAGTGGATAAGAACTGGGCCCTGGTGAGCTGGTTTCCATGACTCAGAGCCGGTCAACTCTGCATGGGTCTTGGGACGTCCACTTTCTCCTCGTCTGAGTTTCCCCATCACAGTAATAAAGACAGCGCCCATCTATTGGATGCCAACCACGTGCCAGGAGCTGAGCTAGCAACTCGATAAACATTTCAGTTTTACAAGCATTTTCCAGTTTAAGAAACTGAGGCCGAGAACAGCAAAATGACTTCAGGCCACAGCCACACATAGCTCGGATGCGCCAGAGTGGAGAACTCCATCCCGATGCCTCTGACCCAAGGCCCACGTCTCCCTCTCCAGCATGCTGCCTCCCTGTGGGCTGGTATAGTCTGGGCTTGGCCGACAACCAGCAGCTATGCCTCAGAGGCGTCCCAAAGGCCCAGAGCAAGGCTTGTTTGGAGAACCAGGACTCCTGACTCCAGAGTCCAGACTCTCCGTCATACCCCACGATTCCCTCCTCTGCGCCCCGCTCCCCCGCCCCACCAGCCTCCATACCTCGTGCCCTCTGGTCCCAGCCCGCCTGTCCTGTAAGCGAAGGGACATTTCCTGGCTCTGCTGGGAAGGTCCTGGCAGCACTCTCTCACCCAAGTGAGAATGAATGATTTATTTTTTCTTTCCCAGCACATTGTAAATCCCAGTGGAAGACTAAACATGTTCTTGATGATGTTTATTCCTGCAGATGAGGCCCGGCTGAGGAGCTGGGCCTTGTTGAGCCTGAAGGAAAAGGCCTTCTAAAGGCAATGGGCTGGGCTTTCCCTCACTCTCCAGGCCTCCTGGGCTGGTGGGAGGGACTGAGCCACTGGGGTTCCCCCCGTCCCCCCCCCCCCAGCCCGAAGTGGTCTCTGGGGATGCCATTGGTCTCGGCCCGAGTTCCCAGCAGCCAGGGCAGCCACAGGGGAGGCTGGGGGCCTTGGGCAAGGCACGTGGCCTCTCAAGCCCTAGATTCTGTGTCTATAAATTAGGGGAAGGCTGCTGGGCCCCCACTCCCACCCAGAGTTGAAGTGAGCACAGACCTCAACGCCTTTATAAGATAGAATGGTGGCCAAGGCCTCAACTCCGGAACCAAACTGCCCGTGTTGGAATCGCTGCTCTGAGGCCCTCGGCAAGTTACTCAGCCTCTCTGTACTCCACTCACCTCACCGGTCGAACAGTGGTGATCATACAGGTCCACTCCCCTTAGCAGCAGTTCTGAAATCCAAGAGCCACTTTGGAAAAGCAAAAATGCCCTTTGCAGCTCATTCCGTGGCAAAATCAAATCCAAACAGAAGGCAGGCCATTTATGGCCTCTGTGTACCCCATTTCGGTGGCCCTTGGGAATTATGAGCGGGAGAGAGTGCGGGGTGTGAGCCAGACCCCAATCCCTTTCTGAAATTGGAACATTGCTCGGCGCCAGAGCACACGGGCCCCAAAGCCGTCTTGGACGGCTGCGGATTGTGCTGCGGATTGAAGCGCGTCGCCGGTGGGAAGGGCCTTTCCTGGTATCATTGCAAGGGTTTGCTGTGACGGTCACCATTGTTAACTCCGTTAATGCTTAGTAAGGGCTCAGTAAATGGCAGCCGTTCCTATTGTCGTTGGTGTTAATATCAGTATTAGCCAGAGCCGTGGGGGCCCGGATTTGGGAGTGGAGATTCCTCTGGCTCTTTCCTCATCTGACCATATAGCCAGTCCCTGTTCAGTGGGCACGGCCCGGGTCTGGGCTTCCGGGGCCCTGTGTTCTAGGGTGGGCTTTGCCTCTGGTTGCTCCATGGCCTTGGACAACTTGCCCTGCCTCTCGGAGTCTCAGCTGACCTCTAGGGCCTTTCCCAGCTCTGACGCTCTGGGATCCTGGCTTGTTCTCTCCAAGCAGTGGAGAGTGGGAGAGGGTCAGGAGGAAGGAAGCGAACACGCTATCTGCCGGGATGTGCTGAGCACTGGGCTTGGTGCACTCACGCAGGCCCGACTGCTCACCCGCCCAACAGCCCGCACTGGTGAGGCCGCTGAGGCTTCAGTGGATTATGTCAGGGGGTTGAGCAGAAGGCCTGCGGGCTGAGGGCTTGGAGGGGAAGGGGCTTGAGTGGGCTGGGTGGGCACTGGGGGTTGGGGGTGGTGACAGTGGCCCAGCCACACTGCTGTGACCCCCGGGGGAGGCTGGTCAGGAGCACCGTGATGCCCTTCCGCCTCTTTCCCTTTCCTACCTAAGAAGCTCAGAAGAGCCAACGTACGGGTGGTAAGACAGGTTCCCCGAGGACACTGCCATTCTGTGAGAGGCCTGCCCCTGTGACGGAAACTTCCTGATCCCCTGGCCTGGGTTGCTACCAGCCTTGGGGGTGGGCAGCTGGAGCCAGGACAGAGCCTTTGTCTTCCCTTTTGGGAAGAAGAAGAAGGGTCCAGGCAGTCCTTCTGGAAGGCGATCATGGAGAGCAGTGGGATGGAGATTCGATTCTTTTTTTTTTTTTTTTTTTTTAAGATTTTATTTGCTTAGAGAGGGCACAAGGCAACACCAGGGGGAGCGGTAGAGGGTGAGGGAGAAGCAGGCTCCCTGCTGAGCAGGGAGCCCAACCTGGGGTTCGATCCCAAGACTCTGGGATCATGACCTGAGTCAAAGGCAGACACTTAACCGACTGAGCCACCCAGGGGCCCCGGGATTAAGGTTCTTAAGGTGCTGGTGCCTGCCTGGCTCCATGGCTCTGTGGCCCCGGCAGCAGAGGGCGGTGCCTGACTCAGACCCCGCCCTCAAGGAACTTATTGGAGCCTGGGGAGTTCTGGGGTAGCCGTTATGCACTTTGCAGTCGGCTTTCAGGAAATAACTCAGGTGGTGCCGAGGAGTAAACACACCATGCCGTCTGCATCCACCATTGCCAAGGGCCCTCATCTCCTACCGGGATCCCAGGCTGAAGCCTCAGACCTGTTGTATCTGCCTTCTGGCAAAGCACTTGGTAACATATCCTGTGGGAACCCGGGGAGAGGACAGGAAGATGTGGGTCCATTTCGTGCGGGGGGGGCACCTCGTTCTCAAGGGCAATTTGATACATTAGAATAAAGAGCATGGAGAGAGGTCTGGACACCATCCAAAGGAGTGGTCGGAGGAGCCGGAGAGGAGGGGGAGAAGGGAGAAGGGCTCGAATATCTGAATGGTTTGTCCTGGGAGAGTGATCTGATTTGTCCCCTATGGTCCCATCAGGGACTTGCGAGGGAGCAGGGAGGAGGAGAACTCAAGCTAATGGGCAGAAGTCACTTGAGCTCCACTTAAAATGAATTGCTTGTATCAAGAGCCTCCCCGCCCCTGCAATGTGCCATTCTGTGGGGTCCTGAGTTCCCCATAGAGGGAGCATATAAGCAGAGCCCGGGAAAATCTGGAAAGGGCCCTTACATTTGGATGATATGCTAGATTCCGAGGTCTCTTCGAATCCTGCCTCTCTGTGAAAAGTCGCACTGCAAGGTGAAATGAAAGCACAGCGTGGTGGTAGTGGGGAGCCGCCCCGGAAGACAGTGGGATCTGGGGTCGGGGGAGACAGTGGGTGATTGGCTGTGGTTGAGATCGCAGGTTTCTGGGACCGCACGCATCAGGGTTACAAGTCCTGTCTGCTGCCTGCTAGCTGTGTGATCTTGGCAAGTTGTGCCGACGCTCTGAACCTGTTTTCTCTTCTGGGTAATGGGGAGGATGGGACCGGGCAGCGCTCCAGGGCTGGCCCCCTAGGCGTGTGACCCGAGCGTTTACACAGGACCCTGCACTTCAGAGGGTCTGTGCTTGGATTCTTGGATGCTCAGCTGGATCCACATTTCCAAAGGCTGCCCCGGGGACCCTGTCCCTCTCCATTCCTTGCTCCTTCTCTCCTCTGTCGGCTCCCTTCTCAGGAGGGCAGTCCCCAGCGGAGCCTGAGGCGGCCACCCTCATCCCGGCCGGATGAGCGGAAAGACAAGGTTAGCTTGGGTGACATGCCCAGGGTGGGGAAGGCGACCAGCGACAGCCTAGGACTTGCCTGGGCCAGGGAGGGGACAGGGCTTCCCAGGCTCATGGAGGGATTGAGGGGTGGTTACCCCTAAGGAAAGGAAGTGTTGTTCCAAGGAGGGAGACTCCTGGCCCACAGAGCAGGCAGAAACCACAGAGGCGGCCCTTGCAGGGATGAAGTGAGAGAGTGGGCATCTTCCTCCTTCCCCTCCCTGCTCTTTCTTGTCTCAGGAACTACCTGGTTGCCAGGGTGACCTCCCCGAGCTCCCAACAGGGCCTCCTGGGCATGGGGATCCCAAGGGATCAGCTCCGAGCAGAACCAGCCCCTGCCGCCGTGGTCCCTGTGGCCCCAGCTAGGTCTCTCAGCTCTAGTCTGGGCTGCGGGGTGATGTGGTGTTTCCATGGAAACCACCCAGCCTCAGTGGAAACCCCCCCGGCTTCCATCACTTTTCTCATTTCAGGGGGGGCCTGAAATAGGGAAGTCTGGGCTGCCGTGGCAACCACGCTGGGGTATAAATAGAGACTAGGTCCGCGGAGGGGAGGGGGGTGCGGGCAGGTAGGACAGCTGTGGGAGAGGCGGCTCTCCATGCAAATGCCTCTGGGGACGCCGCCCTCCTTTCCACGCCTCGGGGATCATCCACCCACTGGGGAGAAGAGGTGGAGCAGAGATGGTCAGGGCAGAGAGACCCAAGACCCACGGGAGCCAGCTGTATGACAGGGGCCAGCCACTTAGCGTCTCCGGGCCCTCCTTATCACCGCTCTGATCGCCTTCAAGCCGTGGCCATGTGGTTCCAATACTGATAGAGCTTCATGGGTCAAGACTTGGGTTCTGGGTCCAAATCCCAGCTCTTCACATGTCGGCTGTGTGACCTTGGCCAAGTTAGTCAACCTCTCTGGGCCTCGTTTTCTGCATCTCTAAAATGAGGGAATGAGGTAAATCCCTAGGCTCTAGGTCTGCTCTGAGGATTAAAATGAATTAATGCACGAAAAGTGCTTAGCATGGCTTGTACATAACAATTGTTTGATAAAACTTAGCCACTGTTACTGCGATTAATTGCCCATAGGAAAGCTTTGTAAATCGTAAAGCTCTGTGTGAGTAAAATGAAGAGTACTGTGCTAGGGGTTCTGTCAAGAGGGAGGGGGCAGAGGGCAGTCCTGGGGAGTGGGGCCAGTGAAGGGAGGGGGCAAGGAGCCAGGGTGGCAGGTCCATCCGGAGGATGTGGGTTCTCCGAACGCTGCATTTGTGAGCTGCCTGTGGGGAGCTGACGGAAGCCCACTCACTGCGCTGTGAGCCGGGCTCTGAAAACCCCTGCCTGGAAGTACCTGTCCTATATCCTAATTCCCCTTTCTCCGGAACTGAGGGGCAGGTTTGTGGCTGTCCCCTCGGTGCCCTGGCCCCTCCCCCTGGGCTTCTGTGGTGACAGCAGGTGGCTGTGACTAGCTTATTCATGCTGGAGTGCCAGGAAGGCCCCTGAACAAGGTCCACAGGAGAGGCCAGCAGGGCCAGGCTAGGTCTGGCTCTTGGGGGGGCCCCTCGCTCCCACCTGGGGCGTGGGGCCCTGTTCTCAGTGCTCAAGCCTGGTTTCGGGTTTGCTTCTCTTTGTGCAGATGACTTGTTCCTGAAAAGCTGCTGTAGTGAGATCCTCTGTTGAGAACCCCGCTAGGGGGACCATTGGGGCTGAATCCTTTTGTTCCCTGCACCCCTCATCTGCCTTCTTTGTAAATCATTGTTTTCTTGGTGGGGTTAAGGAAAAGGGGGTGCTTCTCTCCCTCACCAAGGGACCCTGAATTCCCAACACAGGCAGGATTTGGATTTTGTGGGGCCTCGGGACAAGCATGAGGATTAATGGGGAGAGTATGTGAGTACTACCCTGGTGTGTGGGGTGTCGTGGTACTATACACCCATTCGCTCTTCAAGTACACCACGCGTCTACACTGGCCAGGCTTCGCCAGATACGGTCCTTGCTCCCGTGGATCTGACATTCTGGTGGAGGGGAGAGATAATAAATCCTGAAAATGAATGAGCATGTAATGACCACGTTGTGAAGGAAAAGACAACATGCCCACCCTTGCGGGTTGAGGAGGGCCTGCAAGGGGGTGGTGGAGGGGATAGAGAAGGGATGTATTCTGTAGGGTGGTCCAGGAAGGTCTTTCTGAGGAGGTGACATTTAAGCAGAGCCCTGAAGCAAGTGGACGAGTGAGCCATGTTAATATTTGGGGGAAGAGGATAACAGGTGATGGGAAGAGTAAGTGCAAAGGCCCTGAGGCACAAGTGTGCCTAGCAGAAGGACAGCAGAGGAGACCTGTGTAATTGAAGCAGAAGCAGCAAAAACAGAAAATGAGGTTTGGGAAGAGCAGGGGCCAAACAATGCAGGGCCTTGTGGGCCATTGACAGGATGCTGGCGTTCTCCCTGAGAGGGATGAGAGACCACTGGAAGGTTTGCAGCAGTGACATGCAAAGATTCACATCTAAAGGGTCCCCGGGGTGCTGAGTGCCGAATAGACTACAGCGCAGGAGTGGTTGGCCCTGCTGGCCCCGGGCTCCGTGTGGTGGCCTGCTGGGGGCTGACACCCGGAAAGCACTAGGAGAGTAGTTGGCATGGACAGTGAAATGCTTTCGAGTGTGAGCATGTCCCCAGGCTGGGGGCAGGGGAGGAGAGAGGCCGTTTAAGTAGATGTGACCAAAGGTGGGGCACGGGTTTCAGGAAATCTGACCTCGACCGTTGTTCTCCCCTCTGCAGCTAAAGCAGGAGATGGGCAACATCGTGACCGAGCTCATTCAGAACTACAAGGACGGGCATGAGGACAGACTGCAGGAGGCCTGGGACTACGTGCAGGCTCAGGTACGGCGGCCGTGGCGGGGGCGGGGTAGCGTGAGGGTCCTGGCCTAATGTGTCTGGGTCTGGGTGTCCGTGTGCCTGACAGAATATGCCAGGGAGTTTGTATGTGAGTATGTATGTGTTGGGGGCAAGGGGCCTCTGAGTAGTCCCCCTGCCTGGCACCCCGGCTACCACCACAGTCCCTCACTCAGGGGGCCCAGGGTCTTGGAGGCTTCCAGTGGCTCACAGGGCTCCAGTCTGTGGCCGGGAGGTGGGGGAGGGTCCTCATCTCAAGCCAGGAGTCCGTCCTGGGGGTTAAGGAACTGGGGGCCAAGGCTGACATGCTGACACGAGTCTGAGTGGAGGCTACCTCTGGGGGGGTATTGACATGGGATGTGCCCATGGGAACCTTCTGGGGTGAAAGGAGTGTTCTGTCCAAATCCTGATCCAACTGGCATTTATGCCAGTGTATGTGTAAAAAGTCATCAGGCTGTGCACTCCAGTGTATGTGTTTTCCACCTCAATCCGAGTGAGAGAGACAGACTGACTGAGTGAGTGAATGATGGAATGACTGCCTGACAGATTAAATGACTGAATGGGAATGACTGAATGCATGAATGAATGATGGACTAACTGGCAGACAAAATGGCTGGCCTGACTGACTGACTGACTGAATGAGTGATGGACTGACTGGCAGACAGAATGACTGATTTAATGAATGAATGGATGAATGAAGGATGAACTGGCAGACAGAATGACTGACTGACTACTGAATGACTGGCTGAATGAATGAATGAATGAATGCATGAATGATGGACTGACCAGCAGACAGAATGACTGACTGACTGAATGAGTGGATGCATGAATGAAGGATGGACTAACTGGCAGACAGGATGACTGGCTGACTGACTGAATGAATGATGGACTGATTGGCAGACAGAATGACTGACTGACGGAATGAATGAATGAATGACAGACTAACTGAATGAATGGATGAATGACTTTGTGAATGAATGACAGAATGACTGACAGACTGACTGACTGAATGAATGCATGAACGATGGACTGACTGACAAACTGACTGACTGAATGAATGCTGGAATGACTGACAGAATGCCTGGCTGACTGGCTGACTGGCTGACTGACAGACAGACAGACAGAATAACTGACTGGCCCACTGGGTTCCCAGCCCGCCCTGATGGTGAACCAGTCACCAAACACACAAACGGACCCCGGGGATCAGGTCCCAGGTGCTGTGTGCCCCTGGCTGGGACTCAGCATCTCTGGGCTGCAGCGTCCTCGTGTCTCCCGTGGGGCGCCGGCCACACTGGTCCCTGGGGCCTGCCTCTAGCCCTGCCTGCTGCCTGGTGGAGGGCTGTGGGGTGCGAGGGGCAGGGGTGGAGGCAGCAAGAGGACTCCATGGCACCAGGAGAGCAGGGTGTCTGGAGGTGGGACTCTGTCCAGACCACACAGGCGCATCCATTTTCTGGGCCCTGAAGAGAGGACAGCAGTGTTTTGTGCCTCCCAATTTTTGGTGAGGAGCTGGGGCCAGGTCGGGGGGCCTGTGTCGGCTGGGGGGCTCAGTGCACGCGGGAAGATGTTTTCCTCCATGTTCAGTTTGACCCACAGATGCTGAGGTTAGGGGGACGCTCATGTCCCAGGATGAACGCGTGCCTCCTTCAAGGAGCCTGGGGGAGAGCTGGGTCTCTTGAGAGAGGGTGCGCACCCTACCATGGGAAGCAGTTGACTGGTTGGGGGATTTCTGCCGCAGGCAAGGCCTCTAGATCATTCTGATGTCTGTCCGATGCTCCTTGGCATGGTGGTTAAGAAAGCTGACTTGAATCAGGCCCCCGAGGGCGGGAATACCAACTCTGCCACTTCCGGAGCCCGTTTCCTCATCTAGAAAATGGGGCGATGGATCCGTGCTCGTGTGAGAGGAGTGTATGAAGCCCGTGGCGCTTAAGCAGAGCTTAGGTGGCATGTTGCTGATGAGGGTTTATCGGTCACGCCCAACCACTGAGACACAGGGCAGGTGGTGGCTGGGGACAGGTCTCGGCACGAGGCAGGGTCGGGGGCTCTGCCTGGTGTGGTAGCAGGGCCAAGGAGAGCTGTCTCCTTCTGTTGAGTGTGTGAGGGCTGGGGGTGCCCCTCAGCGGGGCCAGCCTCCCTGCCAGAGGAGGCAGCCGAGTATCTGCATGAGCCGGGAATGGAGGGAGGGAACCTGCCCCAGCAGCTGCCTGGAGCCCAAGAACGCCTGAGCATGCTTGGCTCGCCCCCTGCTGGTCACCAGGCTGCTGGTCAGGGACTAGCCACCCAGAGACCAGAGACCGGAGGGAAGCAGGTGGGGGACCCACACACCCAGCGCAGGGGCACCCAGTCAGTCCACTTAATCCTCCCAGGGACCCTGGCAGAGTGGTTCTTGTCATCCCATTCTCCACATGAGGAAGCCAGGGCTGGCGGCTCGCCCAGGCCCAGGGTGTGTGCCCTCCCCGACTCGGTTCCACCTTCCACTGGGCCTTTCCAGCACAGGCTTAGCCCCTCAGATCCCAGTACCATCAGGAATTCAAGCCCGGATGTGATCCACAGCCCCTCTGGGTCCCCTTCGCGAGCCCCACGGACACACCTTCTGGCACGGGGAGCCTAGAAGGGCCTTCTTCCCCTCTGGAGCTAGAACATTTTCTCTTCCAAAAGGCAGAATTGACCATATCTCCTTTTTCGCCTTGGCAGCTGGGAAGCTCAGAGCCAAATCTCAACTCCAACATGTACACAGCACCTAAAAGTGGAGCTGGCCTTCCCCGAGCAGCCCCTGTGCTGTCCAGATCGGGGCCGGATGCTTGGCCTGCCTCAATCCATGGAGTCCTCCTAACAGCCCTTCGAGTTAGGAACCTTTGTTACCTCATTTCGCAGATGAGGAGACTGAGGAAAGCACTTTAGCCAAAGTTAAGCCGCTGGTAGGTGGCAAAGCTGGGATTTGAACCCAGTAGCCAGACTCTAGACCCCCACACACGTTTTGGGTTTTTTTTAATTATTTTTTTTTAAACAGGCTCCACATCCAACGTGGGGCTTGAACGCACGACCCGGTGATCAAGAGTTCCATGCTCTGCCAACTGAGCCCGCCCAGGCGCCCCTAGACCCCACACTCTTAACTGGGTGTCGCTTGCCCTTCTTGTGTCCCACTCATCTGTGTTCTGTCTTTCAACTTGAACGTCCCTCCTGTGCTGCTTTATATTTTTACTGCTCCTGATTTTTGGTCTCTTGCTGTTTTAATATTTATGCTGTGTGTTCCCTGAAAGCCCCTTTAAATTCCCTGTGGCTCCCAGAAGCCAAAGCGAAACCTAAACTCTCATCGTGGCGGTCTGGCTGGGCCCAGGGGGGCCTGAAAGTGGCCGATCTGAGCCTCTGTCCTGGGAGACGCCACCTCCGCGTGGAGGGCGGCCCGCCTGAGGGCAGTGGGCGCGACCGCTGGTCTCCCGGCAGGTGAAGTGCTGCGGCTGGGCCAGCTTCTACAACTGGACGGACAATGCGGAGCTCAGGAACCGCACCAATATCACCTACCCCTGCTCCTGTGAGGACCGGCAGGAGGCGGACGACGGCTTCCTGGTGAGGAAGGGCTTCTGTGAGGCTTTCGACAGCAACAGGACCGAGAGCGGGAACAGCCCCGAGTCCTGGCCCGTGTACCGTGAGGTGTGTGGAAGGCTGTGGGGCCGGGGCTGGGCTTGGGGCACTCTGGGGTTCGGGTTCTCAGGCCACTCAGGTTTGCCTGGCCTACTCCTTACCTCCCACTTCTTCTCTCCCTCCCCCCTCTTCCCTCCTTCCTTCCTTCTTTCCATCCTTCCTTCCTTCCCTCTTTCCTTCCTTCCTTCCTTCCCTCTTTCCTTC